GTGTGCCCCAAGGCCGCCCGCTGCAGAACCTGATCAGCGGCTGACTCCAGAAAGCCAGAGGCAGAGCAGCTCTGTCTTGGGCTTCCTGGAGTCAGCCGCTGGTCAATTTCAGCAGCGGCTGAATCCGGGACAGCTGGGGTGCTGCTGGGTTGGTCCCGCAGCCCCAAGGGGCAGTGCTACTGGACCTGCCCGGCAGCACTCCAGCTGTTCTGCCCCCTGCTTCCCGGATTCAGCACAGTTTTAGCAGCGGCTGAATCGGGGAAGCTGGGGGCAGAGCAGCTCCAATGGTCCGGCTTCCCGGAGCACTTCCGGGTTCCTGATGGTGCCGGACCATCAGGAGTGCCGGACCGGCAGATGCCGGACCATCGGAGTTATACTGTATTATTTTTAAAACCCATTCTTAATGCATTCCAGCATTTTGTCATCTTTTTAGACCACTGCTGAGCAATGAACTAAGGCTTACATTGAGAACCATAAGCACTACAGTCAGTAGTTATTAGGGTTGCCAGGTGTCTGGTTTTGAACAGGACAGTCCAGTATTTGAGCTTTCTGTTCAGGAAACAAATTGAGAAAATATAAATGTCTGGTATTTTCTAAATAAGATGTAATGTAGATTGTGATGTAATGTCAAGTGTCCCCGGTATTTTTGTTTAAACCATCTGGCAACCCTAAATGTTTGCAGGATCAGGCCATAAAGTGCTATGGGATCCTTCAGGTTGAAAGACATTATTAATTGCAATATTACCTATTTTCTAATTTAGATCTCTGAAGCTACAAGTCACCATTACCCGCTCAACCAGATGTCCCAACATGCTTGTACACCAGCAACATCACATTCACTCTTAAATATGCCTGCATCACAGAGGTGCTCAGGTAAATGGCTGTTTTTTTTAAATTATAGGGTTGTTTTGGTCGGGAGGGAACTTGAGGGTTATTTCTGCACCAATAGTATGTAGATGGACATTAGTGTTATCTGGCACCATTCTATATCCTGATTCCTTCTGATGGTGGTACCTGATTCCTTCTGATGGTGGCAAACTATTATGATAAGAACAAGGAGGAGTCCTGTAGCACCTTAAAGATAAACACACTTATTTGGAAATAAGCTTTCATGGTCTGGAGCCCACTTTGTCAGATGCATCTCATGAAGTGGGCTTCAGCTCACAGATCTTATGTCCAAATAAATGTGTTTATCTTTAAGGTGCCACAGGACTTCTTGTTTTTGCAAAAACAGACTAGCACCACTATTATGAATATTAGTCTGAATATTATTATGGTGATAAGCACCCTAGAAATACAACAGATGGATTTAGATATTTATCTAACACTTGGATATGAGTGTAGGAGACTGGAAGTGATAACCTCTCAATTTCCTTCCAACCCTATGATCTCATGAAATCAAAGTCTACAATTTTGTTACAGGGGTGGTGGGAGGAAAATATAATTTGGATACAGAAAGACCTGGTTTCCCCGCTACTTTTATTAAATGCTTTTAGTTCAATTTTAACAACTCCATATAATTCCATATAATTGTTACAAAATATTATCTGACTACAGAGCATTTTTCATGATTTTCATGCCCTCCATTTCAGTTCACATGACTGTGCATTGAAATGTGATGCATGACATGATCTCCAAGTATCCTCCAGACACCTAAAACTCAAAGTGAAATGCTGGTGTCCAAAATCAAAGCAAAGCAGACAGCAGAGTAGTAACTAGAAATTCTACTGTAATGTTTTCCATCTCCACAAATTAATGAGAAACAATTAGTAATAATTAATAAACACAAACTGGGAGTTATCACTTTTGTTTATCGTTTTACTTTATATCACATTGTCTTAAAATAATATCAGTAAACTTAAGTCTCCATTATAAAACAGCAATATCATTTGACATTTCAAAGTGTATTTGTGACTCCAGAAAATACTGAATCAGTAACATGCCAGCACAGGGAAGTCTTCAAAGCTCTCCAAAATTGGCATTTTAATGTGCATTGTAGCTCAATACATTTTGACGCATGCATTGAAAAGGCTTCTGGAAGTTAATGAAAACATGTAGGAATGAAAAAGTAAATTTTCCTCCACAGTTTGTATGTTTCACTCCCTCTCCTCCCAATACTGCTTAACAGAAAATATGAATTAGAAAAAATGGGACTGTGTGGTCAATAATAAAAGAAAATTCAGAACAAAATTTACAGAAGTAACCCACTGCACATAGCCATTATTCTACTTGAAATATCATGCAGTATTTCTGGACTCCTGTAAACCTATGTACAATTGGATGTATTTGCAAGCAAAGAGGCTTCATGATTTAGTGAGCTAAGCAAAGGCCTGGTAGTCCAGAACTCCTGGGTTCTAATTCTGGGTATAAGGATGACTTGCTTTGTAATCTTGGGGAAATAATAGCTTCAGTTCCAGTTTCTGTAGCTGTAAAATGGGGATAGATAATACTTTCTTACCTCCCTGAGAGGTGTGTTGTGAGGATTAAGTAGGTATCTGTAAAGCACTTTGAAGATGTTAACTGCTGAGTATAAAGTACCAGTCTTAACATTACAGAAAAATACCTTACATATTAATAGGTCTGACAAATTGAGAAAAGGGATATTCAAAGTTAAAGTGGTTTCCAGCATTCACCCTAGTTTTCTATTTTATGAGCGATGTCTGCATGAAATATAGCAAGTGTGCCCCAAAGATAAGCAAGCAATTGTAATATGATTTGCTTCTGTAATAACCTTTTTTAATTATGAATACTAGCTTTGAGTAGAGATGTAATAAAAGACACATATTTGATACTCTTGCATCCCAAACACACACCTAAATGACCACTCAAGATTTCCAGCGTGTAGCAGTTTGTGTCAATTAGAGATTTAAAAACAAAACAGAAACAAATAATGCAAATATTTCTGCTATTTTTTAGAAACAACAAATGTGTGACTCTCAATCTTTCAAGCCAACTTTCCCTCATGACTGAGATTGCCTCATCTTTATCATGTTCTAGATACCTCTGCCCCCTCCCCCACTCTCTTAGAGCACTATTCACAGAGCACATTGATTCTTTCTCTGCAGATATAATAGTTGTTTCACTAGAGCTGCTTATAATTATAGCAATATGTGTCACTCAGTAATAAGACATCCAATTATTTTTGTCCCTTCAACTTTCAATGCCAAAAATGGGGAACTTCATTCCTAAATAAATTATTTGTATTTGAACTTTTACTTGTAACACTGATTGTAACTGGTCACTTCAAACTGCACTAGTTTAGCTGCCAGGAACTGCTGACAAGCTCACATTATCAGTCCCCTAAAGAAGAAATTCTATTTTAACTCCAAATACATTTTCATTCCAATATTTCATATTCCCATTAGTTAACTATAAAGAAACAAAGTTGTGCCTGAGTTTGAAAATAAATGGGAGAGAAAATAATAAAGATGTAATAGTACTGACAGGAGAGATTTTTAAAAGCGATATGAACAATCTTTAATCTTTTATCTATAGATTTCCTGTATGAGACTTTTTTCTGAAAGGCAAATAGCTCTGCGTTGTCCCTGCTAAAATCTCTCAAAATAAAAAGAATTAACTGAAGCTTACCTGTACTGGAATGTCATATTTGTAATTTTTATCTTTATTTCCTCTCCGTGGCGAATTTCTCCAGTCATTTCAAAGAGTTTGTTAGCCATTTTCTCATAAACTTTGGCATTCCTTTTAGTTTGTTTCAGTTCATCAAAAAATTCTTCCCAAACCAGCATTAAACCTCTCATTTCTGCATCAGTCCAGTTTCTGGCCCTTCTGTGTTTCTCAGTCTGAGAAGAAACAATGTAACTGGGAATTTCTGCTGCAGCCATTGCTGATTGACCTAAAAGGGTTTTAAAAGAGGACACTTAATATAGATTGAGTTTTTAGTTTAGGTTTTTGTAGTGCAAGACATGCATATGTGGATAAAGAATTTGAATGACAACAGAACATATGAAACCTTTTTGCAACAGCTTGAAGCTTGAGTGCACAAAATGGGGCCTACATCTGACAGGCAGGAATTTAGTTAAAAGCTTTTAAACAGAGAAACGTCATTTTGATGTCACGTTTCCATAGCAACAGAGCAACTGCATAAGCTACAACAACAAAAACCTTTTAACTGAAAGCCAAAGAATCAGGACAAAGTTGACAGGCCATCAATATTAAAGCTTTTAAACACTTTAGGTTTAACAAAAAAAGATCTATGCAGCCTTTGAGACGCTACTTTTAAGTTTCTACTTCTTTTTAGCTTTTCTTACCTTTTAGGCAGACAATCTGCTGGCAGGGGGTCATGGTTGCCTGAATGAGCTTTTAAGTTGTGCCTTGACGGACTCTTTAGGAGGTTGCAAGGACTGAGGCCATGTACACACAGACAGAAAGCTTTTTACAAAGATTTTTTTTTAAAAGCTCCACATACCTTTATGAAAATATATCTGCATATCTACAATATGATAAATGTTTAAGCAGCCAGTCTTCTTTAAAAATAGGCCTGCATTTTTTTTTAGGAACATGCATAAAAATAGCTTTTCGGTGCTTTTTACACACACACACGCACACACACACACACAAAATATAATGCCACTTTTTTTCCTTAGATGCTTTATGACTGCTAAGCATATACTGTAGTCCTTTCAGTATGAATTTGTCTTTTGTAAGTATCTATAACTGTATGTGTATTTTGTATTCCAAGTAATTTAGATACTATTTATGCTATTTTATGCAGCCTGTGTGCTGCCTCAGGACTGCAGCACAGGCATTTCACCAGCTTTAGAGAGAACCTAAAAGGATTATTCATTGAGTTTTTTTAAAAGGCTGCAAGATGCTTAGAGCTGTAAATAAATTGCTTTATTGTGAAATAAGCATTTTATGGTAGTTTTCTATGCAAAGGGCTAAATTCTGTTCACATTTACACCAATGAAACAACACTGATTTCATTGATTCATCATATTAAATTGTATCACACACTATGGGTCAAATTCTGCCTTTTCTTACACCCATGCAACGCCATAATGTCTATCATAAAACAGTAAGATTAATGGAATTGATCAGTTCTAGCAATATGACTAGCTAATGCACAGGCATTAATTCTCTACATTCCAAATTAAACTGCATCATGTATTAAAAACACACACCGTTGTTTGTTTTCAGTTTCAGCATATAACAGCAGTAACGACCTCACTGCAGGGTATTTCCTGGAGATTAATGACAGGCGGGGGTTAATGGCCTGAGGCTCACCCAGCCAGTCCTTAATCCCCAGGAAATGTTCTGTGCCTCAATCCTTAATGCTTAAGTATCCTATAAATTGTAAGTCTTTTCATAACCACATCCTTGATCTTACAAATAGTTTAAAAACTACACAGATTGGTTTACATTCTCGAAAGGGTGAGGGGAGCCCATAATGTCCCTAAAAGGCACATGAAATAAAACTTTTAATAATCACTGCCTCGTCTCCATTTTATGTATTTTATTGTTCATTCCAAATTATATCCACAAAAGAACTGAGATATATGAAGAAAAATAAATCAGAATTTCTCTATTTAGTAACTCTTACTCCAGAGCCACTGAAAAAATCTATATGTGAAAAATATACCTACTGAGTGAAAGGCTTCCTTAACAAAACATAGCCTCCAAATATTACTTTTTAACTGCTAATATGACAGTCTAACAACTATTACCCTCTTAAAATGTGTAAATAGCACCATATGCTGTATGTTGTCACAGTGATCTTGAATGGCTTGTCTCTTGGGTGCCCAGCTGGGAGACAGCACATGATTGGTAGACAGATGGTGGTCAGAAAAGGATGCGCTGGTGGCAGATTCATTATATTAATTTATTTGTATATACCCAGCACATCCCAGCAGGTTGCATGTACATATTAATAAAAACAATATCAAATTCAATAGACTAGTTTTGCCAATGACAGAGGCTCAGCAGGACAAACTTAAGGAAGTGAGAAGATGTCTCAGAAAAAAGTTCCTTATGTTATTGCCGGGATACTGAGTGTCTGATCGGGGACCAAATAACCATCTTGCATTTATACAAAAACCTCAGTCCAAATGGACCCCAAATTGTTTTTCAGACATTATGAAAGAATTCTAGGAAACGTTTTGCCCTGACATTTATCCAGTAGGGCTCTGAAAAAAATTTGTATTGTTCTTATTGTAACCAATCATGTATTAGACATTTTAAATAACAAAGAGAGAGAGAGATGGTCCCTGCTTTGTAGAATTTACAGTCTAGTTTTAGATTGGACACAGTTAGCCAGGTAACAAACAAGAGAGAAAGGGAACAAAAGGGAACAAGGACAGCAGCAATATCTTCTCTGAGGCCAGTTCTACACTTATCCTGAGATAGACACTCCAGATACCAATCTTTCAGGGTTTGATTTAGCAGGTCTAGTAAGGACCTGCTAAATCAACCATTGATGGCATCCCCCATCAACCCCAGTACTCCACAGTGTCACAAGAAGAAAGGGAAGTCAATAAGAGAGTTTCTCCTATCAGTCTCCTGCAATAGGGACGCTGCGAAAAAAATGACTTAAGGTACATTGACTCCAGGTACATTATCCTCGTAGTGGGAGTTGTGCATCTTAAGTTGATTTCTCTCAAAGGCTAGATCTATACTACACCCCTCTGTTGGCAGAAGGATATAAATAAAGCACATTGAAAGTGCAACTGAAGCAGGGATTTAAAATATCCCAGGCTTCACTTGTATAATCATGTTCTGATGCTGTTTTGAACAAGCGCCATTTCGAAACTGAAACAGCGGTTTAGATGTGGTTCTGCTGACAGCGGGGTGATTTTCCGACAGATCCTGTACTCCTCAAAAAACGAGCTCATTCTTAACTTCTCTTGGCAGCAAGATTTTATCCCTGCAGTGCCTATTTCTTCTTCGAGTGGCCCCGTGGGTGCTCCACTCTAGGTGTTGGGTTCCGTCCCGGCGCCCCGGCTCGGAGACTTTTCATAGCCGTGCTCCACCAACTCGCGCATGCGTAGTTCACCAGGATAGCGTTCGCGCCTTTGATCAGCCGCGCGTGAGCCGGCAACCGTCAGTTCCTCTCAACCGCCTCAGGTCGTGGTCGGAGCTCCCTGATCTCTTTTTCAGTCATGGTTTTAGATAGTTGTCTACCTGTAAATAGTTAAAGTTTTAGTGTTAACTGTGTTCCTGTTACTTGTTAGGTGTTCTCTTGTTTAAAAAAAAAAAAAATTTCTTTAAAGCCGTTTTCACTTAGAAGCGCTGCAGCGAAGCGCTAAACAGTGAAATTGACAACCCACAGTGGGGTTGCACAGGGATCAGTTTTTTTCTCTGTAACTCTGCTGGCGCCATTTGCAGTTGCAAATGGTGCCCGGGATTTAAATATCCTGGGCTTCATTTGCATGTTCCTGGGTGCCGCCATTTTTAAACTAACTCTGTGTCCGCGGCTACACGCAGCATGGAGTAGGTAGTCGAATTAAAGATTCTAATGAGCAGTAACGGTAGTTCGAATTAGGGTTGTTAATTCGAACTACCTACTCCGTGCTGCGTGTAGCCGCAGGCATGAAGTTAGGACTAAGGAGGATTTAAAAATGGAGCCACACAAGGTATCTGAGACCTGTTCTTAAAGGGACACCTCCCCCCCCCGGACAGCCGGTTCTAAGGTTTCCCTGCTTGATTGCCTACCTCACTGAGGGACAGTGAAGCATTTTTTTTCTCTGCATGCTCTGGTTGCCCTCACTCAGGATACCACAGCACTCTGCAGCATGGAGCCGGAGCCACCTCTGGGCACTCTGGTGCTTCTCCTGGATGTGTTGCTACGAACCTGGCAGCACGTTCTGCAGGCAGTAACAGTCTCCCTGGTGTGCCCCAGTAGGGGCTTGTGCCTCATTCCTCCCTCACGTCCTTCTGCATACCCCTCCCTACCCCCTCTTCCTGATGTACAATAAAAGACATGTGTTCATTACAACAAAGCCTCTTTATTGAACAAAACTGGGGTAGAGGGGGAATGGAACTGAGTTGAGACTGGAGAAAGAAGGTGGGAGGGGGAGGAGGGAGGCAGAAACTTGGGAGGAGGGAGCTGGCAGCGGGAGGAAGGGGAAAAAGCTCAGGGCTCAGGGTTGGGGGTTTTGCCGGTCCAACTGTCTCCCAGCACCATTGGTGCGGGGGCCTTGGTGTCCCTCGGGATGTGGAGACGGTGGGGAGAAGCGGAAGGGGGAGGAGGAGCAGTAGCTGGGGAGGCAGCAGGGACTGAAGGAGCACGAGGCAGCAAACTCTGCCCCAGGGTCGAAGACCATCTGGGGGGCATGGACCTTCCTGCCCCCCAGGTTGTGGTCCATGGCATCAAAATAGGAGCCGGGGTCTGAGTCTGCCCCTGGTTGGGAGCTGCCCCCTGTGGCCCTGGCATACGCCTGCCACAGCTTCTCAGAAACTTGGGAGGAGGGAGCTGGCAGCGGGAGGAAGGGGAAAAAGCTCAGGGCTCAGGGTTGGGGGTTTTGCCGGTCCAACTGTCTCCCAGCACCATTGGTGCGGGGGCCTTGGTGTCCCTCGGGATGTGGAGACGGTGGGGAGAAGCGGAAGGGGGAGGAGGAGCAGTAGCTGGGGAGGCAGCAGGGACTGAAGGAGCACGAGGCAGCAAACTCTGCCCCAGGGTCGAAGACCATCTGGGGGGCATGGACCTTCCTGCCCCCCAGGTTGTGGTCCATGGCATCAAAATAGGAGCCGGGGTCTGAGTCTGCCCCTGGTTGGGAGCTGCCCCCTGTGGCCCTGGCATACGCCTGCCACAGCTTCTTGATTTTCATGTGAACCTGCTCCTGGGTTCGCATGTGGCCTTTAGTGGCCCAGATGGCAGCCATCCACCTGTAGACGGTTAGGTTCCTCCATTTAGTGCGGAGATCATGGATGTTGGAGGCATCCCCCCAAACCTGAATTAGATCCCTGATCTCTGCACTGCACCAGGCAGGCGCCTGCCTTTTCTGGCCCCTGGCAGGCTCCTGGGAGCTGGCAACCTGTCTTGGGGAGCGGTGGAGGGCTGGCTGGCACTGGCTGCCTGGCTCATGCTGGGGCCACTGGGTCAGGTAAAGTGACTGCTGGCTCTGGGCTGGCAGGCTTGGAGCTGGCACCCCTTTAAGGGCTCTGGGGAGGGGAGGAGGGAAAGGAGTTTTCTTGGTTGTGCCCAGAGTGGCCACCAGGACACCCTGGGAAGGGCTGGAGGCCCCCTATTTAGAAATAAGCATCTACACAGAGCTTATTTCGAAATAGCAATTTCAAAATTGGTGCTATTCCTTGTGGAATGAGGCTTACCAATTTTGAAATAAGCCCTCCGCTATTTCAATTTAATTTCAAAATAGCAGTTTGGCTGTGTGGACGCTGGTAAAGTTATTTCGAAATAACAGCTGTTTTTTCAAAATAACTTTGCTGGGTAGACATAACCACACATTAAGGGTTTCAATAGCTTTCATGTTTTCTCCCTCCATGGCCTGCAGCTCCATATCCCTAGAGTTTACAGTCATAACTAGTCTGTGTTTCTTGGGGGCATACAATCATGTAGGAATACTTATTCTATTTGCCCCATTTCAGATCTACTCAAGGTCTACTCAACTAGTGCATTACATGTTACAAGACTCTGAGCAGAAATCTGCAAGAAACAGTGTCAGCCAATCCAAATAGCAATATTCTCCTCTCCTGATGAAGGTATCAACCCAGTTGCTTCAGTTCAAGCAGGTAACTATTGTAACTTCCGGGAAATTCAAGTTACAGTGGGGGAGGTTTATGTTGGTTATTAGGAAAAATTATTTCACTAGGAGGGTGGTGAAGTACTGGAATGGGTTACGTAGGGAGGTGGTGAAATCTCCATCCCTAGAGGTTTTTAAGTCTCTGCTTAAGTCTCTGGCTGGGTTGATTTAGTTGGGATTGGTCCTGCTTTGGGCAGGGGGCTAGACTTGATGACCTCCTGAGGTCTCTTCCAGCCCTATGATTCTATGAAATCTTACAGTGAATGCAAATACCCTGAAAATGCCAGTGGAGATAGTACAGGAAAAAGTTGAACAAACTTTTCAACGTCTTTTATTGCTTAATGTCTGAGAGATTGGCAATGCCAGTAAATGAGGCTTTGTTAGAGCCAGCTAGAGGGAAGTTATTAATGGAGTTCCTCGGAGATCAGTCTTCAGATTAATTTTATTTAATATTTGTATTAATGGTGGAAATCTACTCACAACACAGAGACGTATGTAATATTATACAGGAAGAACTGGATGACCTTGGAAACTGGAGTAATAGAAATAGTAATAGAAATGGGTTGAAATTTAATACTACCAAATTGCAAGGTTATGCAATTAAAGATTAATAGCAAGAATTTGTGCTTTAAGCTGGGGGCTCATCAGCTGAAAGTGACAGTGGCGACATAGGTGCATTGGTTGATAGCAGGTTATCCGTGAGCCACAATGTACCGTGGTTGTAAAAAATTCAAATACAGTCCTAGGATGTGTCAGGCAAGGTTATTACTTCCAGAAATAGGAAGTATTGGTGTCCTTCTTCAAGGCACTGGTAAGCCTTCATTTAGAACGCTGCGTAAATCCATGTTCAAGAAAGATGAATTCAGAGAGGAACAGGGCTACTAGGATAATCTGTGGAATGGAGAGTCTATTTTACAAGAGAATATTTTAAAAGGATGGCTTGTTTATCCAACCAAAACAAAATCTGAGAGAGAGGCTATAATTCCTCTATAAATCAAATCAGGGAGTAAAAACAAGGGGTGAAGAGCTATTAATTTTAGGTACAGTGTTGACACAAAACCAAATGGATATAACCTGGTCATTAATAAACTTAGGCAGGAAATAAGAAGATTTTTAACCATCAGAAGATTGAGGTTCTGGAACAGCCTCCCAATAGATGTTGTGGAGGGCAAACAACTTAATTAGAAATAAGATAGATCTTGATACATTTTGAGTGAGATTGTATAATGGGGTAGCCTGCAGCAGTGTAGTTTGGGCTTAACTCTGACCCCAAATAAGTACTGAAACAAAAAACAGGACTATTTAGCACTTTAAAGACTAACAAGATGGTTTATTAGGTGATGAGCTTTCGTGGGCCAGACCCACTTCCTCAGATCAAATAGTGGAATAAAATTGGCACAACCATATATACCAAAGGATACAATCAAAAAAATGAACACATATGAAAAGGACAAATCAAATTTCAGAACAGAGGGGGGATGATGGGGGGAGGTAAGGTCTGTGAGCTAATGATATTAGAGGTGATAATTGGGGAGGCTGGATAAAGACAAACTGACCTACCTCAATTGCAAGTTATCATAAATTATACAACATTATTTTCCAGAAACAGCTATAAGTGTTTAACAAAAGAGCCCGCTGTTAAATTATCAATATCTTTACTAGTATTTTCTATTCAATTAGATAATGAAAATAATATTTTAACACAAAAGGATAGATAAATATTCCTTAAAATTAGCCAACTGTCTGTGTTAGAATTAAGGATTTTGTGACTAAATATATTTTCCTCTGGACTTGATGATAATATGTTTGCTTCACAAGTGAAGAATGTAAGACTAGTTTCCTTAACTATTTCTTTGAAGTTCTTGGGTTTTGCAAATGATGTATGAAGTGCATTGTTTTCATAAAACTGCTTTTTTTAAAGTACCGTAATACCTCCAAAGCCTTGGTTTTATTTATTTAGATCTGCATCCCTGATGTTTTAAAAGTTAACTGCTTCCATCAGCAAAATTGGATCTAATACATCAACTCCCTTTTCCCTAGCTTAGACTCCATTGCATATTCACTCCTTGACTCAGCAAAGCACTGAAGCATGGGCTTAACTTTAAGTACATGATTTAGTCCAATTTAATGCCTTGTCTACCCTTAAATATTTTGCCACTTAACTATAGTTAAATTGACAAAGTCCTAGTTACACTAAACAGTGTTTATTGTGGTATAGTATATTCTGGTTCAAAGAAGTGAAGTAAGCTTATGCTGGAATGAAACACCTTCTACTAGTATAGCTGTGTCCACACTAAGGATGTCTATGTGTAGTCAACTATATGACTAATAAGCCTACACTGTACTGCTGGGGGGAGCTGGCTTTTAATGATGATGTTGCCTGCCACACTCCCGTGCTGCTTCCTCTATAAGAGGCAGCAGCACAGAGATGAGGCTGGGGAGGCTGCCTCGAAGCAGCCTCTGGCCATGGCAGGCCCGAGCTCCCCACAGGCCTGTCCACAGTGAGCTTGGACCCTCTGTGGACAGGGGCTGCTGCTTTGAGATGCAGAACAGCCTCTCTGTACGGAGAACTCAGACTACCCACAGACAGGGGCTGCTGCCACCCCATGCTACTGCCTCTGTATCAGGAGTGGCAGGCAGCCGATCTGCATGGGGAGCTGGTTTTTAAATTGGCTCCCCTAGCAGACTGGCTCCCACCTGATATAGAGGGAGCAGCACGGGGTGTCAGAGGGCTCCCTGGAAGTGGGGCCGGAGCGCAGTGACTGCCAGCCCCACCTCCAGGGACTACAGAATAGTCCAGCTATCGATAAGAATTCCTGCAGTTACTCGGCTATTCTGTTACCCACTATCTAACATCCCTAGTCCAAACTACAGCTTTTATCAGCATAACTATGTCAGGTTAAAAAAAAAAAAAAAAATCACACACTCCTCAATGAGATAGTTCTGCTGATAACACTTAAGTGTAGACGAGACCTAAATCAGTGAAACTTAGGAAAATGCTTGAATTTAAGCATTTACCTAAGTTTCACTGATTCAGGTCTGGTCTACACTTAAGTGTTATCAGCATAACTATTTTATTAAGGAGTGTGTGATTTCTTTTTAATTTAAACATTTACCTAAGTGCTGAGCTAAACAGGGTTTGACACAGGTATTTACTTAAAACATTTTTTTAAGTCAAGGCTTATACCACCACCTGTATACTTTCATTATAAAATGACTTATTTTAGATTAAAGAAAACAAAATGAAAAAATAAGTGTTCATAAGACATAAGAAAAGTGTCCGTAAGAAAAACATCCTTGCTAGTTAGGAAACAGATACTTCGCCCCTCCAAATAGAGGTATTGCACTGCTTTCATGACACCCTTTTATTCAGTCTTATTTCTGTGGCAAGAGTAACAGTGCTAGTGTGGCCATTCGAGTATTTCTGACAGTAATTAAACAATAGTTAGAAAAATACTGTAAAGGAGCCTTTCATCATCATCATCATTGTTGTTGTCCTTCACGCCCACTGGCGTATAGGGCAACAGCAAAGATCCTCCACTTCTGTCTGTCTCTGGCCAGCCTCTCAATAGTAACCCAAGTTTAATTCATTGTCTTCATTTCTACTTCAGCGGTCCGGCACCATGTTGTCTTGGGTCGTCCTCATTTCTGCTTCTCTTCAGGGGTCCAGTGCACAGCAATCTTTGTGATGGAGCTTCCATCTTTCCTGAGCTCGTGCCCAATCTATCTCCAGTGTCTTTTCATAATGATGGCAGCCATGTTGTCTTGTTTACATTGCGCAAGCAAGTCCTGATTTGAAATTATTCTTAGCCAAAAAATACGGAAGATCCGCCGAAGACTTCTGGTGTGAAAAGGTGACAAAGAAGCCTTTAGTTCCAATCAAATATAACTCATGTTAACCTGATTCAAACAACATTAGGCCAAGAGAAGAGTTTGGAACTTATACATGATTCCAGCTAATCCAGTTTTTAATACACTTTGGGTGGCAAGTGTTAAAGCCATGTCGAATAAATGGGTTCTAGCTTGTTTTTGTTCCAGAAGGAGAGTGGTTTTGGCCCAATACCAGAAACCGCTGGCCTTAGAGAAGCTGCTAAGAGAGTCACTGTTATTTCTCTGCCCACACACCAGCCTTACTGCTCAAAGTGTGCTACTTACTTGGCAGCTTGCTAAATTCACCTAGCAGCTGTTTGTATCCATATACTGAGTTCCTGAGACTCTGCCAAAACCACTATGGAAGCACAATATAGTAATGTGCGCAGCTCTTTTAGCTACGGTGCCTCTTCAGCTGACAGACATATTCCAGATGAAGCCAGCAATCATAGGACCATAGGGTTAGAAAGGACTGCAAGGGTCATCTAGTCTAGCTCCCTGCCAAGATGCAGGATTTATTGTATTTAAGCAGATGTGCCTTTATAGATCGGTGTTTTGGGAGGAGGGTGATAACCTGTGCATGCTGTGATGGAGGGTGAGAGTTTGGGTGGGGGCAGACCGAGGACAGCAGCTTCAGTAGTGTTATTGACCATGCTCACTCAGTACAAGCCAAGCAGCAAATTGGGAGGGACCGACCCCCATCTGCCTTCCCATACATACACACACTTTTCCAGGGGCTACTAAGGCACTGGAGAATTTTTTTGTTTTGTTTTGGTAGATAACTTAGTTAGCTGACAGGAACACTTCATCTAATTCTTATATAAAAGAAAGTAAAATAAATAAATATTAGACTCTCAGCTCTAACACTAACATAGTCTGACATCTTGTGGCAAGTCACTTCAGGGACACTGGTTAGCTTTACATTTTTAATATACATTTTTATTTTATTACTAACTCTGCAGAGAAGGAGAGACAGTCAGGGCTCCTGGGCTCTCTCTCAGCACTGGAAGGGGAGTGGGGTCTAATGGATTACAGCAGGGGTCAGATACATTTGGGCACTATAAGAACATAGAAATGGCCATATTGGGTCAGACCAATAGTCCATCTAGCCCAATATCT